CCTTCTCGCCCTCTTTAGTGTCCAGCCTCCCATAAAATTCATCATATGCCTTCTGGTTTGCATTAGATTCCTCCCTCTTTGCTTTATGTTCCATCTCTTTATGTTCCTGTCTCCTCTCTTCAGTCCTCTCACTGTCATATTTATTCTTGGCTAACTTCCTTCTTTAAACAGCTTCCTGCACTTCACTATTCCACCACCAGGTTTCTTTATCATCCATGCTCTGTCCAGATGATACACCAAGTACTTTCCTACCCGTCTCTTTAATTACTGTTACTCTAGTAGCCCAGTCATTTGGAAGCTCTTTCTTACTACACAGAGCCTTTAACAGCTCCTCTCTGAATTTCTCACAACATTCTTCATATCTCAGCTTCCACCATTTGGTCTTCTTCTCTGATTTTACTCTTTTTCTCTTCTTCACAACAACAGTCATTCTACTCACAACCATCCAATGCTGTCTGACCATGCTGTCCCCTGCCATAATGTTAAAATCTCCAATCTCCCTCAGGTTTTCTCTTCTACACATCATATGATCTACCTGTGTACTCCTGCCTCCACTCTTAGAGGTCACTCTATGTTCTTCCCTCTTTTGGAAAGAAGTGGTGACAACAGCCATTTCCATTCTCTTGGCAAAATCCACCACCATCTGTCTTTCCTGGTTTCTTTTCTTGACACCAAACATACCCATCACTTCCTCATCTCATCTGTTTCTTTCACCAACATGTCTATTAAGGTCTGCTCTGATCACCACTCTTTCCTCCCTGAGAATACTCTCTGTCACTTCATCCAGATCTTTCCAAAATGTACCTTTCTCTTCCACATCACATCCAACCTGTGGAGCATAACCACTGATAAGATTTAGCATCAGACCTTCTACTTCTACCTTCAGACACATCACCCTATCTGACACTCTCTTCAACATTCAATTCAAGATTTAATTTTAACCCAGGTGTCGTCAACATACCTGAACCAATGACTTGGTGGTGTCCCTGAAAAGGACGTCAAGGCTCTCTTTTCTACCTCCTCCATGTACAGGTTGGCAACAATAGGAGAAACTGGAGACCCCATAGCACACCCATGTTTCTGCCTATAATATTGCTCCCCATATCTGAAGTACGTTGACTGCAGGCACAGTTTCAAGAGTTACAGTTGTTCTGTGGAAAGCGTGGTCCTGCTGCTCAGAGTGGTGTCTGATTTTAATTTTAAACTGACCACCTCTACTGCATCATCAACAGGAATGCATGTAAAGAGTGATGTGACATCAAAAGAGACCATTGTTTCATCAGTCTC